AAATAGACATGAGCAATAAGTAAAGCAAGAAAAAAAAACAACACGAACAAGACACAAAGAACAACATTCCGGTACCAAAGTCTCTGAACGACGTCATCAACAAACCCAACCAATTGAATGTCGCCATTTAAAAAAATAAAACCAAGTGGATGCACACTTCCCCCTTGCGAAGTGTGCATGCATGCATCAAACATCGACATCAACCCCCACGCCATCTGATCTACATGGCTCACGGTGCTTCTAAACTGCAGACTACTACTGACAACTCCTGACAAACGAACACAAACAACCGATCTCCCCTCCGTAGCCTGTCAAAGAACAGCCACATCATGAACGCACTCCGTTTCAAAAACAACTACATCAACGCCAACCGATCGCGTAGGGCATCCCGAAGGAGGTCCCCGTCCACGTCCGTGCATTGTTGATGCCCATGTATTGTGTGCTGCACAATACCCAAGTCCACCCTCCGTCGCACGCCATCTCTGTCGACCTCCCAAAGGAGGTTCTCCCTGAACTCGATCCCCAAATCAAGGAGGATGTTATGGAGCATGCAAACAGCAACAAATTGTTGTGGCAGGGTGCGGAGGTTTGTCTTATGAGTACGCAGAAACAAACGCCACATGCACTTCAACCGACCGAACGCCCTCTCCACACATCTGTGCGCCACCTTCTGTGTTGTGTCGAAGCGCTCATCGTTTGGACGTTGGTCGGTTCCTCCGTACAGATGGATGATCCACGAACACGCGATGAGGTACACAACAACTACGTGGTAGGCGGTTCGGCGAACAACTCGCCGCTCTCTGCGCACCTCCACAAATGTGAGTTATGCAGGACACGGATGTCGTGCACACTACCAAGATATTCGATGTCGACGTCAACGACACGCAAGCCCAAATCCATCACCACCTACGCTTGGACTGAGAACTTCTGCTTGCGATCGTAGTAGTTTTCCGATGGCGCGCCAACAGGCTTGTTGATGTAGATATGTATACAATCGATTGCATCGTATCAGTTAGGGAAACCCTTCTCCAAGAAGGCACGCAAAACCTGCAAGCCTTGTCCCGGTCGGCCATGCGATTGTGTCAGGGTACACATTAAGCAACGCGGAAGTGATGTCAAGGACGGCCACCAATCTTGAAGCCCTCCGATGCCGAAAGATGGCGTGCCGCTCTCAAACGTCTCCTCGGATGCCCACCTGTACAACGCGAAAGCCACCACGTGCTCCACGTCCAACGACTGCCTGTAATGTGTGACCTTTCTCTCAAGATACCGGTCGCATGCGGCGACGATCTGCATGAAGACTACCCTCGACATGAGCAACTTCTAGCGGAAGTACCCATTCGTTGCATGGTCGCACGCTAGGAGATCGGCCCACGTCCCACCCGCCCTCCGCTTTATCCACCATTGTGGCGTCTGACGGGGGATGACGCCGGTGGACAGTGCCGATGCCGAAAGATGGCGTGCCACTCTCAAACGTCTCCTCGGATGCCCACCTGTACAACGCAAAAGCCACCACGTGCTCCACGTCCAACAACTGCCTGTAATGTGTGACCTTTCTCTCAAGATATCGTTCGCATGTGGCGACGATCTGCATGAAGACTACCCTCGACATGAGCAACTTCTTGCGGAAGTACCCATCCGTTGCATGGTCGCACGCTAGGAGATCCGCCCACGTCCCACCCGCCCTCCGCTTTATCCACCACTATGGCGTCTGAGGGGGGATGATGCTTGTGGACAGTGCCGCACACAACTGCAGCACGGCTTCAGGCGTCACCAGACAATCCGGCGCCTCCACCACACGATGCAAGAGCGCTTTGTGCCTCCACAACATCAAACGCATTCCTCAGTTTCTAGATGCCATACCCCTCTCCAGTTCTAGAACGATTGTCGTCACCACTACTGCCACCGCCTCCCGCTCTTCAAGGGACAAAATCCGTCTGCCTCCACCACCGTCAAGCTCCTTGCCCGACATGTTACCAACGTTGCGGTTAGTCGCCCGCCTCCGTTAGCCACCCACAAAGACGTGACGCCAGTACCTAAAGGACGTTTTGCGAAGCGAAAGATGACGAACGCACCCCGTGGCGCTCTACATTTGACGTCGTCCATGGCGAGCTTTTGTTGACCAGCCGCCACGCGCCCCTATCAGAAAATTCAAATTCAAATTTTCGAAGCATTGCCCCCGCACGTTTTTTTGCCTCCAACATTTTACGTGTTGGGCTCCACCTGCCGTCTGGACCACGGACACTGCTTGGCAAGGGCCGAACAACGGCAGCACGGCTCCGCATACGTATATAAATCTGGCCGAGGAGAACCCTTTAGAACCAATCCTAAAAGCAATTCTTTTAGGAAAGTGTGTAACCGCGATGTCTCGATTACTAAAATTATTTTAAGACTGGTCCTAAATCTTTTAGGATTCCTTTAGGAGCACCTAACAAGACCCTTGCAATATAATTTTTAAGGGCTTGCCAAATCAGCTAAACATCAAACCTGGCGCCATTAAACCTTAACCAAAAAAAAAACAAGGCACGAAAGAAATGCCCTTTGCAATGCTTGGGGGTTAACATATGGCTGAAAAGTGGGGGTCCCTGTGTCGAGCGCACAGTCCCTGCAGAGGGGACCTTCCCGGTCACGTCACGCGGGATTCAACATGTTGCAAAAACACTAGGAGCATCGCCGCTCCGGCCGAGTGCGCCAACTATACCTCCATCGAGCCCCTACGTCAAGATAGGGTCTCTAGAGGTACAACTTACCTGCCCCCGCAAGAGTTGTCACCATCCCTGGGGTAGGCATATCCCCACCGAGCTCCTGAACCACATGTGAAGGCTTTTACATGCAATCACAGAGGTGGTCGTTTCTCGTATGTTGTAGCATAGGGATTACGCACGGTCAACGCCTAGATCGAACTCGTAAGCAAACCGTGATGTGGGGCGCTCATCTCCCACGCACGGCCCTACGTCAATCAACAAAGACACTTGGACTTAACCAAGCGGCATATGATCGATAGTACCTCGAACTCAAAGCTCGCGCATGTGCCTCGTCCCTTTTGCAAATGTTCGCACACATAAGTACCACGAACTGAAAGCTCGCGCATGTGCCTCATCCCTTTCGCAAATGTTCGCACCCATAACTCGAAATATGTACAAATATCAAGATGTAACTCGCACGAAAGTGCATAAGAGAAACGCGAGCGCAAATGAGGCCACAACACTCCATGTGCACTCACTCAATCGACTCTTATGGCGACGCTTCACTTGTTACCCAAACTCGTGACACACAAGTGTCAAACACAAAGTATCGTGAAGGAATCTTCCTTCACGATATAGAACGGTCAAAGGCTATGTCGTTCAACCCTCGTGACATTTTTGGCTTTTAGGCAGAGGGCGACAATGGACAAGGAGCAAGTGTCCAACGCATAAAGGAAACCCTTTTTGTATTGGACAAAAACTTTGAATGCCTTGGACAAGGACATCGAATTTCAAGTTCAGGGCCAACGTCCGACCAAAAATTTAATTCACATTATATTCCAACCATTATCTTAGCAGATGGAAAAATAAGGGTGCACATAGGTACAAATAGAAAAATAGGGGTGCACATAGGTACACATTAAACTCGTAAGAAAAAGAGAGGTTTGTATGGGAACTAGGGAAGACCATCTCTCACAACCACCGTGTGGCTCACTCGTCCATTCGCAAGAAAGACGATCAAGCTCCAAAATACATACCTGCACACACACATTCAGCCAAAGCACATTCCATGCACGAACACGGTCAACCTTTTGATTACTGCACCCTGTCACTCACAACCCTGCCCAAACACTTCAGACAAATGCATTGCCCAAGTCATCCATTCTCATTATCCTATATGGCCATTCAAGGAAAACAAAAGGGGGACCCTAAGGAAAACGCCATTCGCCTACAAGGTTCAAACATTCAGGCAGTAATGATAAGATAGGTGAAGGTTGAATCGCAAAAAAAAACGACCTGCTATCAACCGATAGCAAAAGTTGATAGAACCCAATACGTTTGAAGATACTCGTCGATAGCGGTGTCCTGTTTCACAAAACCAAAGCAGGTGCCACCTGTTGAATAAATGGAGGTCAACTCCGTATCGTATTCCCAACTATCCAACAGTAGCATCCACTAACGATATAAAACTACCAAAATTTTGGGCACCACTTCCCATAAGGAAGTGTGCTTGCAACATACTTTACTAAACCAAATCTAGAGGGCAACACTCAAAGACCATTCAACATAAATTTTGGCAACACTCCCCCTAGCAAAGAAGGCTCCCATACTTTTTACTAAGTATCAAAACTACTTCTAACCCAAAGGACTTTCCCAAGATTTTAACTAACTCTGTAGCTTTAGATGAAATTTCGACGGCATCTCCCCGAGGGAATGAAGCTCCCAAAATTTCCACTAAGCAGAAACTTAGCCAAAATCTGACCAAAGCAAGCATGCATGGAAGGGCAAACGCAAGATTGAAATCGACAACTATTTACCTATTGCTCAAGCACAAGGCGAGCACTAACAGACTAAGCTATGACTAAGCACATGACCAAAAACAAAATGAATAGCATGCATCGCATGTGAGCAAGACAAAGGAAATATTCACTCAACCATGCGAACCGGAGATTTATTTAACCAACTTTTCATCCTTTGCTTTGTCCTACCTAGGCCCCTTTTCCTAAGCGAAAAACCTTTTATCTCATTAGACGTAAATTCTAGCGTGTGAGTTTGTTCTCATACAGATAGTCAGAGCACTCACCTAGATTGCCTTACAACAAGCGAATGTGAACACTCGCCTAGACTTGTCACACAAGGAGGCAAGTCTGGTCTTTTCATCAGCCACACGACTGTTAGCACTCACCGAGACTTGTCTCACAAGGAGACAAGCCTGGCCTTTTCATCATGCAAACCAATTGTTAGCACTCACATAGACTTGTCTCACAACGAGACAAGTCTAGCTTTTTCATCAAACATACCACTGTTAGCACTCACCTGGACTTGTCTCAAAAGGAGATAAGTCTGACCTTTCCTTCAGGCAAACGACATGACTAATACAAAAAGCGTTCAGATTAATCACTACAACATCCTGCCCAAGCACATTCAAACCATCACAAGCAAACATGTATTTTTTGTTAAGCAGCTGAACAAAATTCAAAAACATATGCACACCAGTCAAACCAGTATAAAGGAAAGTAGAGGGTAGTATAAATAGGGGCCTACGAAATTCTAACAAAATCAAGTCGGCCTACATCACTATTCCTTGCCTCTAATGTTCCGCTTGAACCCTGTCAGATGTCTCGCAATCGACGGGTGAACCCCCCATAGGGCCTTGATGCGGTCTTATGGGCTGCAATCCCACCTCCCGCCTTCCTCTCCCAAACCTTTGGACTAGACTCAAAGTGAAAAAGGCAGAAAGACAGTAGGCTCAGTCCCTTAAGGTACAAGAGGTTGTCATTGAGACTCGCACGAAAAAGGCCTTGGTGCCTTCAAATCCTGAGGGTGCCGCAATGGTGGCCAATCGCAGAGTCAAGGTCACAGGCCACAAATGCCGCAGCAAGTTCAGGATCCCAACCTTAATGGGAATGCCTAACCCACCGCTGCAGCTGTGCAGTTTTCAAAGAAAATAGCAGCACTGGCCTCAAGCAGCAGCAGCACCAGTGCTCAGCAGTGTCAGGCTCAAGAGGCCACCAGCTATTCAAGATGCCCACCACAACAGCAGTTTGTAACCACAACAGCAACCACCGCCGATACTCAAGTGGCAGCAGCGTTGCTGTCTTAAATAGATGCAGCAACTGAAGATCAGCAGCAGCAACAGTGTTGTAGAAACAACAACCAAGACTAAAACGTTGTCACCGAACCACCTTGAACCCACAGCTACAACAATGGCCTCAACCGCCGCAACACGGATTACCATACAACAACGGATTGAAGAGCAGCAGCCAACTAGCAGATTGAAAGGCAGCAACAACACTAGATGGGAAGATCAGCAGCAGCTCAGCCTCTGGGGAGCAGCCGCTCAACACCTGAAACCTCTATTTCGCACACTCGCTCCGTTCCATTGAGAATCAAGTAAGACACTCATGTTTCTTTCTCGCCATATCCCCCTACTCGACATGCTCACGCACCTCATTCCTCTTCACCTCCTCAATCTCTACTCTAATGCAAGATATGACCTGACTATCGAACTCACCCAACTTAAAAAAACCCATTTTGCTTCTTTCCTCGACCGATTCTGTTATGAACCATGCAAGATAGACCATTCTCATCTCCTCTTCCAGCATCTTCGTCTTCGTCTTTGTTGTCAACCTTTTCCCTTTTCCTCGATGATTATCGCAGCCTGCCCCTCGCAGCTCCTGACAGCGGTATGACCAAGAACGAGAAAAGGAAGGAAAAGAAAATGAGCAAAAGTGTTTCGGCCGCTCTCGGGCCAGCACCTCCTCTTATCAACCTCGTTGCCCGACCACCGCAAGTGCAAGCTTCACCAAGGCAGGTCGTGCCCGCCTTCTATTGAAACTAGGTTCGCTTAAAAAGGGAAGAAACAAACGAGGCAACAGGGTCACTTTTCAATTTCGATGTTTCAGCCTTGCACAGGGGTCATGCTAATCTTCTCTGTATCATACCAATTTTAACGCATGTCCTGAAGCAAAGGGGCCAAGGAACAACCCCTAGGGTACCATCATGGGACCAGCCAGTCCCAAGTAATTAAGAATTGTAGTGTTCCACTCATTTGCATCCAGCTAAGTTTGAACTCGTGTCTGTATTTCAACAGTTCATGGGTGTACCAAAGAAGCTAGGCCCATGGCAGAGGCAAAACCCGGGGAGTCAACCGCCCCCTTGGTTCCTTCGAACCTGCACCCTTCGCTCCCCATGCTAAACTTGGGTCTGCTGCATCCAAACTACATGTTGTAGGTAGTGGGCTGAGATTGTAGTCGGTACGACACAGTGCAAATTGATTTTCGTCCTAAAAAAAGTGGAACCAAAGCCGCATCGAGGTCGTATGGACGCATACTAGTGGCCTAATGCGTGCCCTTGGTTCAATGACGGAAAGACCTAAAAGAATCATTTCTCTCTCGCATGGTGGAAACGTCAACCTTGTCCCCAAGTGATTGGCCAAAAGGCCTCACTTTCACCCAACCAGTCCGGCCCTACTAATCGGACCCAAGTCCCACTGCGAAATAAACAAAAATCATAAAATATCATTAACAGTCTTAAATAAAGAACCGAACCTGTGGGACTGCGGTTCCACGAAATCAAGCGCCCACCGCGTCCCATTTAAGTAAGGCGAGCACCAATCACGCTCTCTCTCAGTGTTGTTTACCGAAGTGTTATAAACACGCAGGCAAAAAATGGCTATCCTCAGCTCATAAACTTTGTAACGTCGTATACACCTCGGCCAGCGGTCGAAGCTAAGCCGAGTTACTTGTCACGACAATGTGTCACGGTGGTGGTCGGTCTAAATGCTAAATGCGCTTGCACCCTGTGCGCGTGTCAAGCCTAACCAACCGAAGTCATGGCTCTTGCGTGTTACCGTGCAAGTTGATAGATTGCCTCGTCAACCAGCAAGGCCGACGGCTATCGGATTACCGACGATGCCAAGCATTAATGGGCACTCACACTAATACACACTTTATTCACCCTCAAATTCTGCCATGGCTCGTATCAACACACGTTCAGGCCAAATCCGACGCGCCACTGTTCCTCGTGTAATTACGGCCGCATGCTTTGCGATTTGCTTAAAACCTACCCCACATCAATGACCCCTTGGATAGAGTGTAGGCATGTACGTACTTCAAGAACAATGATCTAAAGTCTAGATACCACCACATACAGATAGGACTTGAGGAACAACACAAAATTGCATTTTGTACAAGCTACGAATTATACGACTTTGGGGTGCCGCCTTTCGATCTCTATAATGCGCCCCCTCCAACATGCAATGAACAACTAGTCTCATAAGTCACAACAGAAGACTTCAGAGATCATACACAACATTTACAAATTTAGATATCCTCACAATTGGACTTTTTTTTAGAGAAATGTGAATTTCGACTTACTAAGTTCTTGTACTCGGACACATCATGGAGGATGCACTGAGGCTGGAGGATGCAAAGATAACCACCATTAGGGTCTGGCTAAGACCTTTGTGATTGAAGTATGATGTTTCTTGGGGATGTCGAGGTACTACCGGTTGTTCGTAAAGAATGTTCGCAACATAGCTCGCCCCATAAGTAATCTAGCGCAACACCTCTTGGGGTTGGAGTAAGCAATGTGAGTAGGCTTTCAAGAAATTGAAGGCTGCTCTCATCAATGCATCATGTTGTCCTAGAGATTGTCAATTGTGATAAGTCCTTTGTTTTTACCATTGACGCGGAAGGGAGGAAGTTAGAGACCCTTAAGAGTACATGTCTACAAAAATGCCATCTCCGAAGCTGGCAAATTCCACCTACCAAAAAGAGGTGCATGCACTCTTCATGGCGCTGAAATATTGGAAGCATTACCTACATGGCATACATTTTAAAGCCAGCTCCAACCATGAGACACTCCAATGGATGAAAAGGCAGCCGATACTTTCAAATGCACTAAAGCGACGGATGGCAGTCATAGATGCGTACGACTTCACACTTAAGTATGTTAAAGGGCACCACAATCTGGTGGCTGATGCATTATGAAGGAGAGCAAATTTCCTAGGTGCATTGATGACAAAGTTTCAGTTTGTCAATAGGTGCTAGATTATTACCAAGCACATGGTATTCTCAATGAGCATTAGGCAACTCATTAGATAAGATAGAAAAGTGCGTGAGGAGTCCAGGGGTGGTGGTTCTCAAGAAAGGATGGGGTAGTAAGACCGTTTTCTTAATAAAGACACTACAGTTTGTTCCAGGGACAGTACCATGACGCTCCACAACATTTGTGGTCACCCGATTTGAAGAGGGATGCACAATTGGATGCTGAAAGTTATCAGGTTTGCCAAAGAGACAAACCATGCACACGAGCCTTCTTCCTAGGTCCTTGGTTGATTTCTGGCCAATGGATTTCAAGAACACCTTGGCGACCAGTCAAAAAAGAAACAAGCAGATTTTTGTGATTGTGGGCACATTCTTGGATTTGCTCATTCCATCCCTCTACCGCCTACCGCCAAGACAAAATTGGTAGTAACTAAATTCACTAATAACTAGACCAGAGACTTTGGACTTTGTATTACACATACCATTGTAAGTGAGTGGAATGTGCATTTCACAAGAAAACTGCGGTAGGACCTAGCTAAGAGGTTCAGTTTAGAACTGAGGATGACCTCATGAAATAATAGTGGGTGAACGTCCATGTTGAGCACATGAACAAACAAGTAAAGCAGCTTACCATGCACATGAACAAACAAGTAAAGCAGCTTACCATCTTTTTCTCCTACCCATATCGGACCTAGTCCATGCTTTAATGTGTCACATCTAGTCGGACCCACGCACATTCAACTTTTTATAACCAGACCTAGGTCACCCAAGCTGATTAAAAACTTTCCTACCTGTACCCAGCCGACCCAAGCTGATTAAAACCCGTACCCAATCCATTGGGCCCACCTTGCATCTACAATACTAGCCTAGCCCTTACCCAACCAAACCCGAGCCAAAATTTCAACCACCCAGCTCTTGGCCGCATTCGAACCCAATTTCATCCACCCGGACGTAACCGTCCCATGCCCAGTTTTTTTCCACCAGGCATACCCTTATTTTTTTCCAACATTTCAAACAAAGGACTTTGCAGGTCAAATTCTTCACCTTCCATCTGCAGATTTCAAACATAGGCCTCCGCATGTCGGATTCTTCACCTTCCATCCGCAAATTGCAAGGTCACCACAACTTTGCATATCAGATTCTTCACCTTGTGTCCGCAGATTAACACGTCACAACCCTTCTGCACCTTTTCCACCTCTCGTACCCTGGCTCGTTATTATTCCAGTTCATTCCACAATGTCACTTCTTCACTTGCAAGCACTTCGGATGCTCGGTGCAAGCGTATCAGTCGTCATCCTTTCCGTGATTCTCATGCTCCGATGCCGAATATCAAAGTTCATGCTCTGCAATGTGTTTGCCC